GCAAAAAAAAATGTAATATCGATCAATGTAATTCAAGCTGATGTATGAAATCTCGCGTAACATTTGAAAAGGGCCTATGTCCAAAATGTAAACAATCCAGAAAATGAATTGTAAATTTTTCCGCCAGTATTTAATTCCTATATAAATAGATTGAAGTATTTTAGGCATTTATATTGTTCACAATAACAATAGTAACTATATCTCAGTACACAACATCCAAAACATGCGAAACGTTTTCAAAAATACATGAAAATCGATAAAAATTTAATATCACAGTAATAAGCCTTTTTGTGAATCTTTAAATGGTTAGGCCCTTTTTGTTAAGCCGTTGTGCTTGTCATCATAAATTGTAGGCCCTTTGCTAAGCCTTTTCTTAACGTCAAATAAATCATCGGCCCTGCCTCAAGCAGTAGGGCTTAGCTTTGATTTGAAATTTGCCTACGTCGCTAGGCTTATGAATGGAACCTCATCGAACGAAAAAAAATATATGTTAGGCCCGAGGTTAGGCCGTTTTAGCATGAATGATTGGAAAAATTTGGTGGATCGGCCGTTTTTAAAATCAAGTTATTTTTAATGATTTTTATCGATAATGCGGAACATTCCTATACGACTGGTAGCTAATTACCAGTGCTACAGAATGGTATCAAAAATCGGTTTGTTTACATTTTGGACATAGGCCCTTTTCAAATGTTACGCGAGAAATATTGATGTAATAGCAAAAATCAGATACAATATTACATCAATGGATATAATTTTGTTCACAAAATCGATGTACATCGTACAACGTTATATTACACAACCGATGGATTGACCTGGTTGAAGCAGTTTGGATGTAATATTCAACAACTTTTTTTTTCTGTGTAGCAAAAGTTTAAAACGCTGTCCACACGGATAGAAATATCCTTATACCACAAACGAAGTGACAGACGACTTTCTCCGAAGAAATTAATTTAAATAATGTGGTTCTCTGTAATAGAATTTTAGTCCACCTTCCGCCCCTCACCGCCAGGTTCGCTAGTAGTTTTGCTTTAAATTAATTCAAGTTGGTTTTGTGTGCAATGATCTGGCAACCCGCGTTCTCGCTCACGTTGACGAGGTGCTGTTTTCTCACTCATCGAAGGAAATTTTGATTAGAGTGAGAAAGTAAGGAACAGTCAACGCGGGAACCGTGTGCGTTACTATAGGTGCGGCAGAAGGAATGAAGACAACTCTTTCGTTCTCACGGTGATCCGGTTCTTACGCATGATCCAACGTTACGTCACACTAGATTATGCATAAGAACGTCGTGATAATGAAAGAGCTGACTTGTTTCCTTCTGCCTCACCAATCACATTAAGATATTTTTTTGTTTTGATTCCGAGAAAAGTTGACCTGAGTAGCCACTTTGGGAAGCAATGTTTTGATTTCATTCATAATGTAGAGGGATGGCGGTTTCGCTGAAACAGTGAGCAAAAAATAGACGTTTGCTGGTATGGAAAAACGAGGCATACATAGTGGTCCCATTCTACTAGCGGTTGAAGGATATTTCGCTGCTGTGACGATCCGACAGGGAACGTTGATTACGTATTCCGGCCATACTTTTGGACATTGCTGTGCGGGCCATTTATTGGTATCATGCTGCCCGGCATTCTTTGTTGCTGAGCAAACATGTTACTGTTATCCTTCCAGCGACCCCGGTGTATACCGATTGCTCGGAATGATTAAGCTAATACTTTTCAGTATCTAACAAGTGGTGTATAAACCAGTTTTGCAGTACATATAGAATTTCTGGAATGTTTGCGTTGTCCTATTTTTCCGTAAATTTTTCTTCTTTCGACAACATTTGTGGGCTTCGTGGTCCAGTGATTATCAGCGTCACCCGTCGCTCACCAGGGTGTCTATTCAAATCCCATTTTTTATTCCCGGTATTTTCTCGGTTATTAAAAAAAAAATCTGCCTTAAACAAAAAAAAAGGCGTTCAAAATTAACCCTTTAAGGTGATTCGTTGTGACATCCTTATTCTCGGAACCACTACGAAACTTTAAGTGCATAAATAACAGCTTCTACGACACGTGCAACATTCAAATTGTTACTCCACGTTTGCTGCACTGCAGCATACATGAAGTAGCAATTTCAGGTGGAATGGGGCATTGATTTCCGAGATTTGTGTGATTGGAAATTCGAAGTGGAAGTGCATGTACAGCAGCCATTTGTGGACTCAACAAGGATTCACCTTAAAGATTATGATATAGTTTTGTCAGCAGAATTGCTTTACAATACGTCTACTTTGCGGGGCTGGTAGTGGGTATTTTATACAATAATATAGGTCGGACTCGATTATCCGGGGTTCGATTATCCGGAATTTTAGACTCGATTATCCGGAGTATTTTTTTGCGTTTTTTTCTATAAGTTTTTATGCATCAGACATTTGAAATAATTTAGTATTATAATTTACAATATGATTATTTTAACAATATAATATGTAGCTAAGAAGAGGGGCAGATTTGATTTTTTTTTTGTGATTCGATTATCCGGAGGATTTGATTATTCGGAGTGAAAAAAAAATCGATACTCCGGATAATCGAGTCCGACCTGTAGTGGCTGTAGAGTCTAAAATAACGAAAAAAGTGACCAAATAGTTAGATTAAAACAGACAAAAAATACCAATAGTGACATGTATTGATCGGAAAGAAATGAAAGATGTGGTTCCGATCTGTCGTTGAATGCGACCCACTTTGAGAAATATTATTAACTCACAAACCAGCATTTTTCAATAGGTTAATTACTAACCTCCATTTCCTCACTCAGTGATCATTTTCCTGTCTCTATTTTTGTTAAGTTGTTTTTAGATTCCGAACGCGAATTGGTTATGAATGAATTTCGGGATGTGAACGATTGAACATAGTCATTAAATAAGAAATCTTGAAATTGAGAAAAATTGAGGTGCAGAGAGAAAAGCTCAAAGTCTAGTACAAATTTGTCAATTTTAAGATAAGGCATTTTAAAGATTTCGAATATAGAAACTTCTGTAAATCTTTGGACATAGACAAATGTTCATATCTCTGGAACGTAGATAACTGTTCTAGATCCAATCAACCAATTCGACAGGGACATCCACTCCGATACGAACGTTAGCTGCACTACCCGCACCCGTACCGGAAAATGTTTTGCCTCTCCGGAACCGGTTTGAGTTGCCAAACGAAAACGCCGTACACAGCAGTAATTGGAAGCCGATCGATGTCGAAGTAATAGAAAAAAAGATGAATAAGAATAGGCTGAGCAGACGAGGCAGCAAGAGATAAAAACGTGACATTAAATCCTATGTCCCGATCGATTCGTATACAGAAGTTTCAATGCGCCGCCTGTTTGGAAAGGATTCCCCGCGACATGAGGGAGCGCCACTACGCGAAGCATGCCGGGCTTACCTATCGGGTTGATATCGATCCAGTGGTCGATCTGTATGACGAAACTACTGCCACGGCGATTGTAACCATGAAAGTGCACCGGCAAGTGACGATCTACTGCGACAAATGCAACGTGCCTAAGAAATCGTCTCTCGGATTAGTATTCCACCGGTTGGTTTGGCATGATAAAACACAACCAGTACTCGCACTGTCTGGTTCTGCAGAAGAAATGAAGAAGCTGGAGCAGACAAAACTGATATCGCAACAGGCAGCTTGGGTGGATCCTTCCAGTTCCGCTACGGAGGAGCAAATGCGTACCGAGTATGGCCGGGTTCTGTTTGTTGGCGTCCAACAATGATGTCTTCTCGGTCGCGGATGACTCTGACTTTAGTCAGAAGCATGAACTGAAGAAATCTGTAGCAGCAATTGCAACAAGCGCGAATCATTGACTGCTCAACATCGTTAACTTGTACGCAAATGTTAACCCTATGTGTTCATCCCTAATCATTTTGGCCTATGGTCTTTCATTATACAAAAGAAGTGCAGACGACATAATGAAATGTTGTTTGACTACAGGCTCTCCCTTTCAATTTTCGTTAGAGAAAAAGAGATAACAGGTGTTTCCCCCTACTTTAAGCTAGTACATATGAGTAGATAGTGTTGTCGTGAGGTACACTCGAAAATTTTAAATGTAAGTGCGTCAAATCAAATTTCGAGCCGCTCCGTCTGTCACTTCGTTTGTGCTTATACCTTTTGGCAAATTTCCATTGCTGATTATTCATAAATTGTATAAGTCAACTAATAAGCAGACGCCTTGCAAAAAGTTAATAAAGATCATGTGTCAAATGAAATGTATAAGCGGTCACACATACCTTTTTTGCATTCTAGTAGGACATATGTGGTTTGTCTTATGGAATGTATAAGGCTGATGCTTTGGCAAAAATGTATAAGTGAAACACATGAATTAAATAATTGATTTTCGTTTCGTGCAGACTGGAGAGTTATAACATGTTATAACGGTTGTCAAATAATTGCAAAATAGAAACCACCATCAAGATAGCGCTATAACATGTTATAACTCTGTAGTCTGAACGTACTATAATTTTCTGCGAGATTTTCTGTGATAAGCTTTCCACAAAATCCGCGCCACAGAACTAAGGAAAAGCGCCAAACGAGGCGCCCAACGCACACCAAGCTTATTTGAAAAATGATCTCCATTAAATTAACTTTCTTGCATGGCTTCTGCCTATTAGTTGACTTATGAATTTTATGAATATTCAGCAATATAAATTTGCCAAAAGTATTATACCCCGTTCACATTACAGTCTATATCACGTAATATAGGCTGTCTTGCAATGAGCACTCATACATAGGATTTCCAGTGAAAACTAGATGTATGAGTGCTCATTGCAAGACAGCGTATATCACGTAATATACGCTGTAATGTGAACGGGGTATTACCTCCTAAAAGTATTAATAGGTTTTAAATGTTAGCGAGCACCGTCTCGAGTCCTTTTGTCTGTGGAGAGAGTCCCATGCGGCAAGTTTAAGCTTTCCCTTCAAAACGATAACATTCAAAAAGTCAAATGTGTCACCGAGTTTTGTATCGTTTCGGTAAACTGTTTACTTTTTGGTTTCCCGAGATTTCCGAACAGCTCAACAAATCTCTGGATTTCCAAAAAATAATCATAGCTGCTGCATTTGGCGACATTAGTTTTAAGATTGCTTAAGTTTTTACCTGTGATACAGAACGACAACAGTGCACTAGGTTTCGTTGGCCGTCCGGAAGACGTGATACATTTTCATCCCCGGTCCTGCCCCATAGAGAAATTTGTTTTCTTGTTTTTGTGTTTACGACACCCTCAATAACTTGTGTTTGGATTGAAATTTTGTAAGAAAATAAAGGTAAGTCGAAATATTGGTGGATTTTTTAAATTGATTTTATGACTGTGCTGGTTGTAGCAGGATGGATCAACAGCGGTTCCGGACGGGTGAACGGATCAACAATATTTCCACCAACACCTTCCAGATTTGGGAAACAACAGTCCGTCTGGCTCGGATTCGTACCCTTATGGATCATTTGTGCGCTGCTAATGACGAAAACGATGAGCTAATTTACTGCCTGCGCGAACCGAACGAACCTATCGATGACACACCGGAAGATGCTAGCACTGGTAAGCGGTGAAGATTTGGGAAATTACTGAAATGATGACCAAATCTTTGCATTTGCAGACACCGATCCGGACGAGGAGGACAGTTCAATTAATTCCATCATCAAAGATATTCGCTCGCGACCACGCACCCGTGGTGCCGTCAAGATGATATTCTACAACCGGCTGGCGATGATCTCGGACAAGCTGGCCCAGGACATTAAATTCCGTTCGGAGAATGCAGAGTTTTTTGACGATCTCGAGCTGGTGTTGAGCAGGATGAGTGACGAAGCGGCCGAGATCACAAAGCGAGAAATTATGAAATATTTGGCCGAAGCTAAGGAACGGCTAGCCAAGAAAGGTCGGGAACGGCAACAGATGCTTCAACAACAACAACAGCAGCAGCAACAAAGTTCTAGTAGTTCTGCTTTTTAAAATTTAAGCGGAATATTTTTGACAAAAAAAAAGCAAAACAAACGGTCAAATCTAAATCTTCTCCTAGGTTTTAAACGCGCTAATTTCCAAGGAAATGAACGGTATGCTAGTTGAAGAATGTTACGAGAAGAGGAAAAAAAATCATCTACTCGACTCTTTGTATAAGTGTAATCCATTCTACATATTTCGATCGTCAGTTTTCTGTCATAATTGATTGAGTTTATTTTCCCATATTTGTTTATTTATAATTGTTTGCAGAATTATTCCGATAAAACTGATTTATGAAAAATTGATTTCAAAGACTTGCGCTGAATCGTAGATGATGACACCACACCACATCGTGACAATAATTCTTTTTATTTTGCTATTAGGTTTAAACTAGAGCTTTACACATCACGCGGTGTCCAAAGTGGCGGATTATTCAACTTTAAAATACCTCGGGTTTTTCTTCACCAACATTTAGTTTGGGTGCTTTCAATAGTAAATTGGTGGATTTTAAAATATTCTATCGAGGAAGATTTGAATTATTTCAGATTTAGCATTATTTTCCATACAAATTATAGGCGACAGCTCTGGCATGTACCAACAGTTTTCTCCAACAACATATTTTAAGATCAACTGGTTTGGTAATGGAAGCAAACAAACTAAATGTTGGTGAAGAAAAACCCGAGGAACATGAAAGTTGACTAATCCGCCACTTCGAATACGGCGTGCACCTATCCTTGTTAATGTTTTTTAGGTATTATTATACTACATATACACTACATAATAGTCGCATAGGAGTATCGAGCGAAAACGCAAAACTTGATAACTCAAAAACGAGAAAAGCCCAGTTATGGTGGTAAGCTTCAACCGGTATTATTCTCAGATTAAATCCCGATTAAGAATGTCCGGCTGCTTTGATGCAGACATCAGATTTAATCAACCCGACTCTAAGCAAACATTTTGCAGATTCTCCAAACAGGGACGAGGTTAAAAGTTAATCCGAGTTGGAGCTTTCGGCACTCAAAAAATCCTACACGTTAATGCAACGTGAAAACATATGTGGATTTTTTCCATCGCACATTTCACGTAACACTTACTTGACTTTCATTCTGTGCTTCCATGTTTTTCAATTTTCACATGCACAGAAAAAAAAAGTTCCATCGGTTGTGTAATATAACGTTGTACGATGTACATCGATTTTGCGAACAAAATTACATCCATTGATATAATATTGTATCTGCTTTTTGCTATTACATCTTTATTTCATACATCAGCTTGAATTACGTTGATCGATATTTCATTTTTTTTGCTGTGTGGGAGTTTCACGTACAAACTACGTGAATTTTCAGTATTACAACGACATATTTCGGTAGATTTTAAATGGAATCATGGTATACTTTACATTAAAATCATATGAAGAATATGAGGCTTATTACGGATGTCACTTCACGGTGAAAACTTGTCACTTGTCGTCACGGTGAAGTGATTCCCATTTGATTTGTACGGCAATCACGGCTCTTATTATGACTATCACTTCCTTATCACCTTGTAGTGAAGCCCGTAATAAGGCCCTATATTATTTTCGGATGAAGTGAAGTGGGTACATCTCTGTAGAATTTCATTGATTTATGTAAAGTAAATACTTAATTTTCTCATTGTTATTTATTGAATTCATTAAACTAACACATTTACTGGTGTTCCAATAGCGATGAACCTTTTCTTCACCTTGATAAACATTATTATTTATAGGTTGAAGATGCTAATTTCAAATAACAGACTGAAGAGGTAATTTTTATACGATAGAATGATGAGATGAAAGTATAGAATTTTTTAACATTCTTCAACGAACATAATTTTCACGTAAGTGTTATGGGATGAAAAAGTGGATATGAAATGTGTTCCTTATGAGCATCAAATACTGATAACTAAATTATACTTGCGTTAGGTAAATTCACAAAAAAATTACTTGTCGAGATCTACGGGATTTTTCACGTAGCATTAACGTGTAGAATTTTTTGAGTGAGCCATTAAATATAGCCCGTGAACCTCGCCGTGAACCAATTTTCCGAAATTCCTCCTTATTCTGCGAGTCACGTGACTCTCTGTCACCGGTAATTATTGTCACCTCGTGTGAGGTGGCTCTCTGCGCAAATCAAATGGAGAGTCACCTCACACACACGAGGCGACAATTGTCACCTCACCTGTGAGAGAGACGCACGTGACTCGCAGAATAGGGGGGATTGTCCCAATACAGTGCTGTGAAAGGTTGTATTGGCCACAGTGTTGGAAAAGTTCGCCAAAACCCACTATGACTTGCGAACTTTTCCCTTGTTGAACTTCGTGAAACATCGCGATCTTTTCCAACGCTGGCATACATAGGATTTCCAGTGAAAACTAGATGTATGAGTGCTCATTGCAAGATAGCGTATATCACGTGATATACGCTGTAATGTGAACGGGGTATAAACATAGAGGTAACTCTAAGACCACTGGGTCCCGAAGAAAATCATTATTATTTTTGGCTCACTCAGTACCAGAACAACGGTCCCAAGCAGTCCCAAGCTATTTCACTCACCCCTGCATGTTCTGCATGAATCCACACACCCCTGATGTTATCTGTCAAACTTTCATAGCGAATCAAAACAAACATAGTGTAGTAATAGAATTTCAACTAGAATAGGGTACACTAGTAAAAATCCACACATAACTAATAGAAAATTTCTATAAAATATTAAGCATAATATTCATTTGGCCACACATAATTAGATATCATGGAACAAAACACATACAGATTATGTTGCATATAGACAGTATGTGTGATCACATATAGAGATGATATGTGCAAGTGAGATTTATGTGTCTGGCATATAGAAACTATATCATAAATCTAATTGCAAAAATCTATGTGTGGAACACATAGAAACAATCATTGACTTTTTCTCAGTGTACGTTAATCGTTTGCTTGGGACCAATAGGCTACTAAAGTGGTGAGCCAATTTAAAATCGTTAGTTTCGTATTGATTGTTGCTATAAAGCTGATGTTTTGGCAAAAATGTATAAGTTAAACACATGAATTAAATAATTGATTTTCGTTTCGTTTCTCCTAAAGCATTCTGCCGAAATTCACTTGGAATTCTTCACAAAATTCCCTTTGAATGCTCCCGGAAGATCTTTGATATTCTCTCTTTCTTCATTAATCTCCCTTGGAATCTTTCTCGTAATTCCACAAACAAACAGACTTAACTTTTTATTCTGGATCTTCGTTCACGGATTAAACGATTTATTTGAATATTATAATTACGCCGAACTACTCACCGCAGCCTGACATCGAATCATTTTGATGTTTCTATATCAAGCTAAGCATTAGGTCCCAAGTAACATTAACAGATTCTTTACGTCGATTTTCTCTTCCCTAATAAATTTGTTATGGTTATTTTGCTTAACGACGTGTTTGGGGTATCATCCAACCCATTTGTGGAAAAGTTCGACTATTTGGGGTATTGCTCGTATATGGTTTTTGTTTAATAGGGTTTCCATCCTCACGGCCATGTTAAGACATTCCTAGCTATTTCCAGCACACAGATCGATGAAAGAAGCTATTATCTATCTTCTAATACGACAAACACGACAAGAAAGTCTATGCAGAGGATCGATCAATGGTACTTAGGAACTAATGCAATATTCAGTTTGATATATTCTGTTTACCTTGTATGCATTATTGTCTGCGATTTAGCAAACAAGCTTGTTATCCATGAGAAGCCCGAGAGATGTCGCTACTGAGGTCCTGTGTTTTAAGATACTATGTTTTCAGGAAAAACTTATTCAAACTGTTACGTCCATTTATCTGTGGTAATACACCGGAAGCTATCCTCAGAATTAGAGTTCGCCTTAGCATTAAATTCCTGGCAGGTTACCTATGGACTTCTTGAGAGAGTTTTCTTATTTCCTTACAATACTCATCAGAGTTTCTTTGGCATTACACACCGAGGCAGAAGAACGTAAGAATTCCATAAGAACCACTTATGAATTTTAGCCACAAAAAATCGGTATGAATTTCATAGATTTGTCTTATGAAAAATAATGTCGACCAAAAAATAATAAAATGAAGTAGACTGGAACCGAACCATGGACGTTGATATTACGGGTCCTATGTCTGGAATACTCGTCTGTCGACGCTTGAGTAAATGGAATGGCTAAAGGCGTATAAGAGCTACCTTATGTTAGACGAAAACCTTTCATAAGTCTCGCTTATGAAATTCATATGTGTCGTTCATAAGTCGAGCCTTATGAAATTCTTAAGTCTATTTGCCTCAGTGCAGTCAACTTTCCATTTCTCGATGTTCTCCATCGGGACCACCGAGATAGGAAAAGATCGACATTCAGATCAGTCCCTCCTATTCTGCGAGTCACGTAACTTTCTCTCACCGGTGAGATGGCGATTGTCACATCGTTTCAGATGACTACATTTTATTACCACGGAGAGTCACCTCACCTTAGCTCAGTCGGTAAAGCCGCAGTAACAAAGCAAGACCATGTTGGAGGGGGGAACATGTCGTGACAGTTTTTCTCCATGTATTTCTATGACATTTACATATCCTTTGCCAAATGGCATTCAGAAAAATGATGATACAGTCAGCTCTCTATTTCCCGATGTTCTATATCTCTAGAGCTTAGAATTCATTTCGAACTACGTATCTTCAGATTTAGATTCCTTTGGAATTCTTTTCCCAATTCGCTCAGCATTCATGTCACAACTCATTTGGAATCTTTATGAAGTTTCGTTGAAAATGTCCTGATATTTAATAATTTTCCCAAATCTCATCGAAATTCTCTTGTACATTATTCCTGTAAATTCATAGTAATCTAAGAGCCTTTGGCATATTTCCATGGCTCTAATTTTTTTTTTTTTTAAATAAGGAATCTTGGAAATTTTTCCATGTCTTATGCAAATTTCGATCAAATATTTTGTTACTGAATGCCTCCTGTTTTCCTGCCTCTGTTTGGCTACCGTCAATGGATGAAATTTCGTGGAAAAGTTGTTGTAGAAATTATTTCGTCCATGGTGGGGCAAGTTTCGCTACCCCTCATTATAGTGACAATGATCACTTGGTCAAATCTAGTACCTCAATTGCGAGATGAAAGGGAAATTTCTAAAAACTTAGCTCACTTACTGAATTTCTCTTTCATCTGAGTAGAAAAACTCTCTCACTCTTTTGGAGGCAAACCAGCCTCAGGCTGAAAGCCTCCTAAATAAAGATAAATCAATCAATCTCTCTCACTCTCTGAGTGAGATTGAACGGCCTTGTGC